CCGCGGGGCTCGCTGCCCATCACCCTCGGGCCCAGCCGGAGTTGCGCCGCGACTATTCGCGGCGCGACGAGAAAATGTCCAGGCCTCTGCTCCTAGGGGCCCTCGGATGGCGCTGTGAAGAACGACGGTGGCGAAGCCCGCATCCCCAGCCCGCCGCAGCTGCCTAGGCCCCAAGCGGCCCTGGCTGGAGTCCCTGCGGGTCCCAGAGCTCTAACCACCTCCGCTCCCCACCCAGGCCTAATCCTCGCCCCCGGCTAGGCCCGCCCCGCTCCCTCCCCACAGACCCGGCCCGACGCCCTCGGCCCCCTCCCTCAAAGGCCTGCGCCTCCCGCCGCCCGCCAACTCCGGCTGCCCCAAACTCAACCGACCCCCTCCCCGCCTCAGCGTCGTCCCCGAGCCCTCTTCCGGCCCAGCCGGCCCCCGGCCGCGCGCCCCCGTTACCGGGAATATGGCGGCGGCGGCGGCGAGTCCGGACTAGGCCCGAAGCGCGCGAACCGCTCTCGGCCCCAGGTCCCGCCCCCCGCCGCTGACGTCACACGCACAGCCACTTCCGCCATACGCGAGGACGCATCTTCCGTCTCACGTCTTCAGCGCCGCTGTCTGCAAATCCGGTGTCCGGAAGTTTCCGGAAGTGGCCGTCCGCCGGCTTCCGATGCGGGTCGGAAAAAATGGCTGTGGCATCCGTGTTCCCGGCTCTTGCGCGGGTGAGGAAAGTGGGGATTCAAGGGCCCTGAGCAGGTCACAGTGGGAACTGTGTCTTGTCTTCCTCCGCGGTCGTGGAGACTGGGAGAAGCATCCAGCCGCTTGATAGCCCAGGACAAGGGCAGACCCAAGGAGAGGTCGATCTTGCAACATAGGAGTTTCGGGTTGTGTCCACCCTTGCCTGAACCCACGATGTGCCTGTCTCGTAATATCTGTGAACGATCAGGCTTCGTGGGAGACCCAATTCAGATTTCACCTATTTCCCAGGTGGAGCTGGCCAGCCTCTGGGCTCCCCTTCACTCTGTTCTTAGGACTTTCTGTTCTTTTAAAATTCTCTTAATATTTGTCATGGTTTCACATAGCTTCATAAGATTTTTCTTCTTTTTGAATACAGGCTGTTAACATTGTAAACTTCTCTCTTAGTACTGCTTTTGCTGAATCTCATAATTTTTTTTTGTATGTTGTGTTTTTCTTTGTCTCCATATATTTTCTAATTCCCCTTTGATTTCTCCTTTGATCCATTGGTTGTTCGAGAGTGAGTGTATTGTTTAATTTTCACATACTTATGAATTTTTTGGTTTTCCTTCTGCTGTTGATTTCTAGTTTCATTCTGTTGTGGTCAGAAAAGATGCTTTGTATGATTTCAGTCTTTTTTGTTAAGACTTGTTTCATACCCTAACGTGTTGTCTATCCTGGACAGTGTTCTCAGTGTGCTTGAAAGAGTGTGTATTCTGCTGTTGGGTGGAATGTTCTGTGTATGTTTGTTTGGTCCATTTGGCTTACAGTGTTGTTCAAGTTCTCTGTTTCCTTCTTGCTCTTCTGTCTGGATGTTCTGTCCATTACCAAAAGTAGATTTTGAAATCTCCAACTATTATTGTGTTACTGTCTGTTTCTCCCTTCAGTTCTATGAATATTTGCTTCATATATTTGGGTGCTCTGATGTTGACTGCATATGTATTTGTAATTGTTACATCCTCATGGTGAATTGACCTTTTTATCATGTCCTTTATTTCTTGTGACAGTTTTTGACTTAAAGTGTGCTCTGTTATAAGTAGGGCCATCTCTGCTCACTTTTGGTTATCATTTGTATGCAGTATATTTCAAACTTCCACTTTCAGCCTACATGTTTCCTAACATCTAAAAATGAGTTTCTTGTAAAAGCATATAGTTGGATCTTGTGGGGTGTTTTAATCCATTCAGCCACTCTATCTTGATTGGGGAGTTTAATCCACTTGCGTTTAAAGTAATTATTCATAGAGGAGGACTTACTATTGCCATGTTGTTAATTGTTTTCTATCTGTCTTGTAGCTTTTGTGTCCCTCTTTTCCTCTCTTGCTGCCATCCTTTGTGTTTCATTGATTTTTTTTTTTCCCTACAGAGATGGGCTTTGATTCCTTTCTCATTTTCTATTATATATAGGTGTTTTCTCTGTGGTTACCATGGGGCTTACATAAGACATCCTATAATCTATTTTAAACTGATAATAATTTCAGTCACATAGGAAAACTCTGTTCTTTTACTCCTCCCACCTTATGTTACCACCTTAGGTTATCAACGTTACAATTACGTATTTTATATTGTGTATCTATTAGTATATTTCATAGTTTTTTTATGTTTTTGTCTTTTAACTTCTAAGCAAGAATTAAAAATGATTTATACACCATTGTTACAGTGTTACAGTATTCTGTGTTTGTCATATATTTACCTTTACTAGTGAGCTTTATGCTTTCATATGTTTTTGTGTTGCTCTTTAGCGTCCTTTGGATTCTATAGGCTTCTTCAATTTGGATTTCCATTTCTTTCCCCAAATTTGGGAAGTTTTTGGCCATTATTCCTTCAAATAAGCTTTCTGCCCCTTTCTGTCTCTTTCCTCCTTCTGGGACTCTCATAATACTTATATTGATCTTCTTGATGATGTCCCATAAGTCCCCTAGGCATATTTCACTCTTGTTTTTCTTTTTCTCTTTTTTTTTTTTCTTTTTCCTTTTTTCTTTGTCTTCCTCTGATTGGGTAATTTCAAATGATCTGTCTTTGAGCTCACTGATTCTTCTGCTGGATCAGGTCTACTGTTTCACCTCTGTAGTGAAATTTTCAATTTGGTGTATTCTTCAGTTCTAAAATTTTTTTTTAATATTTCTCTTTGTAGATATTCTCATTTTGTTCATGCATTGTTTTCTTCAGCTCATTGAACATCTTGATGACAGTTATTTTGAGTTATTTGTCAGGTGGTTCATATACCTCTGTTTTCAGTGTTGATTTCTGGAAATTAGTTTTATTCCTTTGTTTTGCTATTTCATGTCCCTTGCAACTTTGTGTTTAGATCCATGCATTTGCAAAAACAGCCAGCTCTCCCAGTCTTTTTGGGATGCCTTTGTACAAGGAAGGACCTTTGCTAATCAGTCCAGCTAGAGCATCTGGGGGGCCTCTCAAAACTTCTTTGTGGAAATGTCTCCTCTAGACTTGTCCGTGCAAAATCCCAACTAGGGATTTGCTGGTTTCTTTTTTCAGGAGCTCATAATCTCTTGCTCCCTCTGGTGTCTATTTGTGGTAGTGCAGGTTCTCGAGCTTCCGCAAACCTCCCAACTCTCCTTCTCAGCAGCCCTCAGGCTTCTACAGTGTCCGGTGTTCCTTGAATGCTGCAAGTTGGCCAGGACAGAACCAGTCCCTTGTGCAGCTCCTTGAAAAGGAGGAGCTTTGGATGCATGCTCTGCTTTTTTCTTTACATTGGCCTCTGTCTGCTGCCCCATGGGTCCTCAGGAGCAGCAGCAAGCCACCCAGCTCTCTTGTTTTCAGAGGCCCCCAGGTATCTAGAGTGTGTTGAGTCCTGTTAGCGCTCTGAGACAGGTGAGACAGAAACCGTTCTCTCAGGCAGCTCCCTGAAAAGCTGGAACGTTGGATACACATTCTAACTCTTCCCGCCCCAGGAAGAAGCCAGGAGTTGGGGGTTTTCTTCTGCTTGTTTTGTACTGAGCCAGGGGTAGGGATGATGGTGAGTAAGTATATCCTAGTCCAAACCCTCACCTAGTTCTCAGCAGCCCCCAACCTGGGACCCTTTCTGTCACACTTAGATTCAAACAAGACAGAAACTAGTCATTCAGGCACCCCCCTGAAAGGCTGTGTGTTGGACGTAGGTTTCAGTCTTCTTGCATTCCCAGGGAGAGGCCAGGAGCTGAGAATGATCTCCAGTTGCACTGGGCTGAGCCGGGAGGAGGGTCTGTGATGAATGAGTGCCATGAATTTTCCTTCCAGCTGTAATGCAGCTGGTTTTGTGCTCACCTGGGGTTCAGGAGCCTCTTAACTGGCTTCTGGATTTCTCGTAAAGGGAATTGGTCCATGTATTGTTGGGGAGTTGGTATCTCCATGGTAGAAGCGGGGTGTGGGGCTTCCTATTTCATCATCTTGCTGACGTCAGCACCTTCTCCTCACATCTTGGTAGTTTTTGCCGTTCTCTAGATGGCAGACTTTGGGGGATTACGGACCATGCCATCACCATATGCTCAAATTTTAATACAGGCAAGTGACCAGAATGCGAACTATATTTTAAGAATTTTAAGAGAATGCAAAGGAAGGAGAAAATATTTCTGCTGAAGAGTTTCTGGGAAGGCACTGGTTAAGAACACGTTTGCAGTTAGGGCTGGGCTCCAGTCGTTACTGCAATTACTCTCTGAGTCTCAGCTTTCTAAGCCATGAAGTGGGGACAGTATCAGCACAATGAAATTTTTTTATTGAAGTATAGTTGATTTACAGTATTTTATAAGTTTCCAGTGTACAGCATAGCAAGTTACCACTTTTAAAGATTATACTCCATTTACAGTTGTTACAGGAATCAGCATAACTTCTTAAGGTTGCATCTTGTACCTAGTAAGTGTCGAGTGAATGGTAGTCGTTATTACAAAAGTGTTCGTGGCTTGTGTGGCTTGTGTGTTTCAGATGCTTGCTCTGTCTCGGCACCACCTGGTGTCTCCTTCACTCAGCGTGACATCATTCAGACGCTGCTACAGAGGTGACAGCCCGACTGATTCCCAGAAGGACATGATTGAAATCCCTTTGCCTCCGTGGCAGGAGCGAACCGATGAATCCATAGAAACCAAAAGAGCCCGCCTGCTCTATGAGAGCAGAAAGAGAGGAATGTTGGAAAACTGCATTCTGCTTAGGTAGGGGAATAGGAGTCTTGGTGTCTCTTTTCTTTGACTAGAGACACCCTTTTCAAGTTCTTTCTCTTTCTTGTTTCTAGCCTCTTTGCTAAGGAATATCTGCACCACATGACGGAGAAACAGCTAAACCTCTACGATCGCCTGATTAACGAGCCCAGTAATGACTGGGATATTTATTACTGGGCTACAGGTACTGGGCATGAGTAGCAGCATGAGGTGAAAAATAGGGTGACTTGGGCTGACTTGAGCCTGGAATTGTATCGGGGTGATTTTTTTTCCTTTTATCGTGCAGTAGACACTCAACCCAAACACTATTCACATTTTTCCAAAGCGAGCAAAATTTGTTTTATTAGTTAAAGTTCTTTGTTTGCAAGCAATAGAAGCCTCTTCTGTCTAGCTTAAACAAAAAGGGGATTTAGTGGAATTTTATAGGAGGCTCACAGTATCAAAGGGGAGGTTGAAGAAAAACCAGGCCGGGAGTGGAGCGGACCGAGATAGCTCTGTAAGGCTGCACAGCAGGCGGGTCTTGGGAGTCATATTCTGGCTGCCTTTGTGAGGAATGAAGTCTCACTGTGTCTAGTTAGATTCGCTTTGGCTGTGAGTTAAAAAAAAAAGTCCAAAACAATAGTAGCTTAAACAAGACAGAACTCTCTTTCTCTCTCTTTCTTATAACAGAAGTCCAGAGATAGACTCTCCAGAGTGCAGAGAAGGGTTTCAAAGTCACATGGTCCAGAGTCCTCTTGACCTGCTGCTCCTTCACCTTCCCTATTTGTTATCTACCTCATGACCCAAGATGGCTGCTGAGGCTCTGTTTGTCATGGCCACATTTCAGCCAGGAAAAAAGTATGGCGAGCACACCCCATTTTTTATGGATCCTTTTCAAGAAATTATACATTGTAATTCCACTTCTTTTCCATTGTCCACAGTTTAGTCACTTGGCTGCACCTGGCCATAAGAAAGAAATAATGTAGCCTATTCCATGTGCCCAGATAAACTGGGGAGTCTATTATCAAGGAAAAAGGGGACAATAGATATGAGGGGACATCTCATCCATTTCTGTCACACTCTGTATCTCCTGTTTTTGTGTTTCCACTGAATATTTGTATCATAAAATAGAAACCATTCTATGGGTTCCAAGTATGAAGGGTAACAATACAGGGTCTAGAAGCTTATATAACCATTAGAAAATCCACAAAGTGTGAAATATTTATCATCTGGCCCTTAATAAAAAATGTTTGCCCCTGACTTGGCATCATGCATTTGACATTCATCCGTGTGGTTGTATCAATAGTTCTTTCTTTACTATCGAGTGGAATTCCAGCGTGTGGATGTACCACAGTTTATCTACTGAGCAGTTAGGAACGTTAGGGTATCTCCAGTTTTAGGCGATTATGAATAAAGCTGCTGTAAATCTTTGCATACAGGGTTTTGTGAATGTAGGTTTTAGTTTTTCTTGGGTGACTGCCCAGCGGAAGGGTTGCTGGGTCATATGGTAAGTGTGTGTTTAACTTCATGACAAACTTTTTCTCTGATGGGCCAGGTAGTAAATATTTTGGGCTTTGCAGACCATAAAGTCTCTGTCATAATTATTCAAGTCTGCCATCATGCATGCATACAGCCATGGACAGTATGTAAACAAACGAGGGTGACCATGATCCAATAAAACTTTGTGAGCATGAGAGTTTGAACTTCATATAATTTTCATGTGTCGTGAAATATTGTTTTTTCCCTCAATCAGTTAAAAATCATTCTCAGCTCACAGACCAGACAGAAACAGGCAGTATGCCATAGTTTGCCAACTCCTATGCTAAGTAGAAGAGGCTAGACTCAAAGACTACATAACTGTATGATTCCATTTATATGATACTCTAGAAAAGGCAAAGCTGTATGGAGAGGAAGCAGACCAATGATTGCCAGGGGCAGGGTGTGAAGAAAGGAATAGATGTTCCCCTTCACTTGATCTTAGCCAAAAGGCCAAGAAGCGATAGATGTTCCCCTTCTTTACCAGTGCTTGGTATGATTGGGGTTTTATTTGTTTCTGTTTTTAGCCATTCTAAAAGGTATGCAGTGGTGTGTATCACTGTAGTTTTAATTGGCATGACCCTAGTGACTAAGGATTTTGAGGGTCTTTTCAAGTCGTTTGCCATTCATAACTCTTTGGTGGTGTGTCTCTTCAAATTTCCCCCCATTTTTTTTTAATTGGGTTGTTTGTCTTCTTTTCCACTATAAGCATTTGATGCTATAAATTTCCCTCTAAGTACTGCTTTAGCTTTATGTTACAAATATGGATGTGTTATGTTTTCATTTTCATTCAATTCAAAATAGTCTCTAATTCCCTTGTGACTTCCTCTTTGACCCATGAGTTATTTAGAAGTATTTTTAATTTTCAGATATTTCCAGATTTTCCAGATATTTTTCTGTTATTGATTCCATTGTGACCATGGAGCATTATGTAATACAATTTCAGTTCTTTTAAATTTTTTTGAAATTAATTTTATGGCCTGAAATGTGTGTCTTGATAAATGTTCCATGTGAATTTATTTGAACATAACATGTTGTTCTGCACTTGCTGGTGAAGTTTTCTGTAAATGTCAAGTAGGTCAGGTTGGTTGATACCATTCTTCACGTCTGGTATATTCTGACTGATTTTCTCTATACTCCGTATCAATTAATGAGTGTTGAAATCTCCAGCTATAATTGTGGATTCATCTAGTACTCCTTTCAGTTCTCTCAGTGTTTGCTTTATGTGTTTTATAGCTCTGTTACTCTATGAAGACGTATTTAGGATTGTTATATCTTCTTGATGAATTGAATCCTTTATCAGTGTATATTGCCTGTCTTTATTGCTGATAGCTCCGAAGTGTCTGATAGTAAGGTAGGCGCTCCAGCTTTCTTTCGATTAGCTTTTGCATGGTATGTATTTTTCCATTTATATTAGTTTCCTATTGCGTAACAAATTACCGTAATTAGTGACTTTCAACAACAAACGTTTATTAGCCCGTGGTTCTATAGGTCAGAAGCTGTGGCCAGATCTCGCAGTCTGAAATCCGTGTCATCTGTTGTACATTCCTGCCTGGAAGCTCATTCCGGTTGCTAGGAGCACTCATTTCCTGAGGTCCTGATTGTCTTGCTAGCTGTCGATCTCTTTCAGCTTCTAGAAGCCACTCTTAGGTTCTTGCCGGGGCCTCCTCCATCTCAGCGGTGGAGACCCTCCCTCACATGGACTCCCTCTCGTGCTTCACAGCTCCCTGACATCCCCTCCTGCCACCAGCTGGAGAAAATTCTGCCTTTAAAGAGCGCATATGATTAGGTCAGAACCACCTGGATAATCTTCCTGTCCTGAGGTCAGTGGTGCCATATAACATAACCCAATCATGGGAGTAAAGATCATCGTATCACAGTCCTGGGGATTACACAGGGCTTATATACAGGGGTGTGGGAAATACCGGGGGCCAACTTAGAAATCTGCTTATCACACCATTCTTTTAAGTTATCTTGTCTTTACATTTAAATTGAGCTGCTTATAGACAGCGTATATAGTCATTCTTTTTTTAATCTAATCTTATAGTCTCTGTCTTTACATTGGTGTGTTTTGGCCATTTATACATAATTAATTTTGGGTTTTTTTGTTTGTTTCCTAGTTCTGTCTGTCTGTTCTTTATTCTTTTTCCCCTTCTATTTCCATGGATTTTTTTTTTTTGAGTATTTAAAATTTCATTTTATCTCCACTGTTTGTTTATTATTTATATCTCTTTATAATTTTTTTTAGTGATTGCCCTAGGGTTTACAGTATACTGTAATTAATCACCTTGAATCAATCATCTTTAATTAATCACAGTCTACCTTCAAGTAATATTATACTGCTTCATGTATAATATAAGAACTTTTTTTTTTTGGTTTGGTTTTTTGTTTTTGGTTTTTTTGGCAGGGGAGGAAGGTAATTCAGTTTATTTATTTTTTAGAGGCAGTACCTGGGATTGAACCCAGGACTCTGCATGCTAGGCATGTGCTCTACCACTTGGGCTGTACCCTCCCCCTGTAAGAACTGCCACTAGTATACTCCAATTCGTCCCTTCCACGTTTTGTCCTATTGTTGCCATGCTTTTCAGTTTTACTTATGCTGTGAGTCTACACTGCTTTTCTGTTGTTTCACTTTAGACAGTTATCTTTAGATATATTTAAAAGAAGGAAGAGGATACATTGTATTTTGTATTTATAAATATATAAGTTACATGTATTATATATAAATATGTGTGTGAGATAATATCCAATGTATATTGCAATGTGTAAGGTACATTATATTTTATATTTGCCTTCATTTTAATCATCTCTGGAGATGTTCATTTCTTTATGTAGAGCCATATTTCTCTGGTATCGTATTCCTTCTGCCTGAAGAACTTCTTTTAATATTTCTTGTAGTGCAGGTTGTCTGTTATGAATTCTCTCAGTTTTTGCCATTTTCAAAAGGTATTTTCAGTAGGTATAGAATGATAGGTTCACCATTTTTCCTTTCAGCACTTAAACATGGGCACTCTTCCTTTGCAAGGCTGTTTTGTGTAGGATGGAGTCAGCCTGGTTAGAAGTTGACCTGGGTTTGGATCTGTGTTTTATATCTTCCATCATTGTTGGAAAATTCTCATCCACTTTTTCTTCATGTATTTCTTCTACCACAGTTTCTTCATGTATTTCTTCTGCCTCTCTTCCTTCTACACTTAGTTTAGACTGATACTGTCCCACAGCTTTTGGATCCTGTGTTTTGTGTCTCTCACTCTTACTTTTCTCTTTATGTATTAGTCTGGGTAGTTTACACTGGATAATATCTATTGATCCATCTTCCAGTTCACTAATTCTTTCCTTAACCATGTTAAACCTTGTGATGAGCCTGTTGAGATCATTCTGCTTATGGGCTACTATTTTTCTTTTTAACATTTCCATTTGACTTTTGTAGTTTCCACCTCCCTCATCTTTTTTTCATATATTTTTCCTACTTTTTCCACTAGCACCTTTAACATGATAGTAATAGTTACTTCAGTTTCCTGTCTAATAGTTCTAACATCTGGGTCATCCCTGAGTCTGTTTCTGTCGATTGCTTTGTCCCTTCACAGTGCATTGTTTTTCATTTTTCTTTTGTGTGTATGTATTTCATAATTTTGGAGTAAATGTTAGACATCATGAGTAAGTCAGTAAAAACTGAGGTAAATAGTATTTATGCTTAGAAATGGGCATGCTGCTTCTGCCAGGCTGTTAGAATGGGAATCGAGTCCGTCTAGTTAGGAGTTAGGCGCACTTTGGATTTTGTTATTCCTGGGTTCTCTTCAGTTCACCACCAGCCTCTGTTGCTACTGTGTGCTCAGGGTGGGGGCTGAGTGGCCAGAGGGTGTTTCTCAGTGTTTTGTTCTACCCTCAGCTTTCAGCCTTCCTGCGTCTCTGTGCCTCAAAGGGAATCTCTCACTGTGCTCTTGTCCTCCCCCAGCAGTAGCTTCCTGTTGATTTCCTCTTGGTGCTTGTTGGTTTGTGGCGGGCGGAGGAGATCTGGAGGGTGTTCTCTGTTATCCTGGTCCAGCTTCAGTCCCTGTGGCCATGGGTCTCAGGGGTGGCCTTTCCCAGTGATCCTACTGATCCCACAAGGGTGGAGGATTTTTTTTTTTTCTCTTTCCCTCCCACATCGGTCCTCACATGTGGCCTGTAGGAGACAGGATTCACTGACTTACTCCAAGTCACCTGAGGCTTTTGTGCAAGGCTTTCTCCCGCCTCCTGCTCTGGACTGTCTCTGTCACGAGCACACTCAGTGGAGGTTTGTTGAGAAGAACATGCACATTGGGGCAAAGTCTCCTTGTGTCTGTGGCTCCCAGAGATTTCATACTCTCCTGCTAGCCTACACTTGGCTTTTGGCAGTTGGTTAAAAATTTTAGCTGAATTCTTACCTGTTTGTATGGTGCCCAGTGCTCTTCTTCCTGTGCAGGTGAGCAGGTGCTCATTTCCAGTTTCTCCTTTCAGGGGCTCTTTCCTTAGATTTTATTCTATTTGGTTGCCCTGTGACCTCAGCTCTCTGATGACTTCAAGAAAGTTACGATGTTTCTAGTTTATCTGACTTTTTCATGTTGGGATGAGTGCAGTCTTCTCTCCCAACTTTCAACATCCTGGGGGGAAGCCTAAATCTCCTTGACCTTATTTTGATTGTCACAAAAAAACAGATGCCAGGCCCACTAGATGCCAGGCTCTGTGCTGAGTTGGGGGAAATCAAACTTGGTTTCGGGGAATTCCCTCTCCTTGTATTTCGTCTTGCTAGAAGGGAAATTTCAGAGCACATTACCTGAGCTTTCCCAGTGGGAGTCTTTGCTTGTAATTTGAACCTAAAGTGAGTGTCTCAAGGGTGGAAAGAAAGTTGGAGGCGAACAGCACCCCGCCAGACTCCCTTCCATGGCCAGAGGCCGGCATCCTCATTTCTTTAGCTCTTTAGGGCCTCGGTTGCCTATCCATTCAAATCTGGTTCTCCAGATTCTTGTCAGTTTTGTGGGCCTCTAACAGTCTCCCAGTAAACTCCTTTTTGCTTAAGTTTCCTAGAGTTATCAGTTGATGTCACTTACATCCAAGGACTTTTGCCTTAGGACATTTATAGACTAGAAAGGAAACACAGTACCCAGAAAACAACTGAAGTACCAAACCTAGAGCATAGCAGTGGATTGGATGGGCCCAGGGTCAGCAAAATTGTTCATAAAAGACCACACGGTAAGTGTTTTAGTCTTGCAGCCACACGGCCTCTGTTGCACCTACTCAGCTCCACCAGTCCTGCGGGAAAGCAGCCACGGACAATATGTGAGCAAATGCGAGCAGCTGTTCCGGGAAAGCCCTGTGCAAATACAGGCTGCTGTAGGTTCGTGGGGCCGACTGCCGTGTGTATTTAGGGGGAGGATGGCGCTGGTCTGTGTACCTGCCGTGGTTCTTGGCCAAGGCCAGAGTTTGGAGTTTCGAGATCCTTCTACCTGAGAGATGACTGACCAGCATAATTCTTTTTGCCCATCCTTCTCTTGCAGAAGCAAAACCAGCCCCAGAAATATTTGAAAATGAAGTCATGGCACTGCTGCGAGACTTTGCTAAAAACAAAAATAAAGAGCAGAGACTGCGGGCCCCAGATCTCGAATACCTCTTCGAGAAGCCACGTTGAGCTGCGCGCGGCTGCCCGCCTGGCCTGGGTCCTCGGGCGCTCACTGCTTGTGACCGAGAGTAGCCTTGGTTTCCTGCTTCTCCTTAGGTGCTCAGCCCGCCCAGGCTGTTCGCCCTGCCTCCCATGGTGGACCTGCCTCCCTCGGAGGACATGTAAATAAATGTTCAGTGTATCTCACGCTAAGACCTTTTCGTTCTGTCTGAGCCTCAAAAGCAGCTTTTCCATGTTACTGGCCCTCAGGCCTGTTTCTCGGGCTCCTGTCTGCAGAGGCAGGGCTTGGCCACTGGGGGGTGCTCTAGGGGAAGAGATTGCGCCAGCTCCTTGCTTCAGCCAGAGATGTGCACAGTGAAAAGGGGCAGCCAGCTGCGCTGCTGTGTGGAAAGTTCCCTGGTGACCCTTCCAGCCTGGTATGGTGCTGTCTGCCGAGGGAAGCCGATCCAAGCCCCCTGAGCCAGATCCTTCCAAGGCCCAGCAAGCAGAATGAGGGTGGTGGGCAGGGATGGCGAGGGCGTGCCGCTTAAGAGGCAGCGTCCTCGTCCTCAGATTTTCTCTCAAATGCTCACTCTGTAAACAGAACGATGATTGAACATTAAAGAATATTTTAAAAAGGAGAATCCCAATTCCCCAGCCCTCACACAGTAATTTTAATTTTGCCTGCTCTCGTATGATCCACAGTCATATGTTTGTAGAGTTTTAAAAGGTCACAACCGTAGGTTTTATCTCCATGTAGCACTATAGCAAACTTTTTCTGTATTTCTGCAGTCTCCACAATTCTTTTAGTTGACCAACGAATAATGCATAAGAAATAACATTTACAGTGAATCAGTTGAAAATGTTTAGCTCTAGGGCCGAAAGACTTCTGCGTCGCTCAAAAGGTGGTCTCACTGGGGAACTTTGCCCTCCGAGCTGTAATCCAGTCAAAACGGGGCCAGGACCATCTAAAAGTGTGGCTCAGAGGAAGGCAGGGCAGAATTGAACACAGGAGCTGCACACAGGCAGGAAGGACACATCTCCAGCATTACTGAGCTACGGGGTTCCCACAGAGCCTCCGCAAAGTCCTGCCTGCCTTTGGTGTCCCTGGCTAAGGGAAGAGAGACGCAGCCTTATTTATGTACATGATCTCAGGGAGCATCACAGCTGTCCTGCGAACAGTTGGTGTTATGCCTGTTTTGTAGATGAGAAAGTGGGCTCTGAGAGTGATTTGTCCAAAATCAAGTAGCTATTCAGTCAAAAAGCCGGACTCTTGTTTAGTTCAGTCTGCCTTCAAAGCTCATGAACTTTCTGCCAGAATACACTACCTTACGGGTAGAAACTTAATAGAAATCTGCACTTTGAGAAGTTATAGCACAGGAATGGGACACTTCTGAGACATGACTCTTGTGTCATGGAGGGGACAGAAAGCTGCCTGGCACCTCCCACAGGAAGCACTTGGTCACCCAGGGTAGCTGTCATAAGTGAGGAAGCAGTGCAGGCACTGGTGACAAGTCACATCCTGGCTCTGCTGCTTACTCGATGGATAAATGAACTGGCCTGAGCCTCAGTTTCCTCATCTGTAAAATGGGGATGGTGATGCTCCCTATCTTAATTATTTGTGAAGAGAGAAAGCACACAGAACTCTCCCGTGGTCCCCAGCACACAGTAAGCTCTTGGTAGATACTAGGTGTCAGCATTTGGTCATGGCCTCGGCCTGAGATTTAAAACCTGTCTCCTGACGCAAACTGCCTAACATGTCATCAAGGTCACCAGGGCTTCATGCAGATGGGAAAGCCGGGCCTGTTAAAGGACCATGGGGTGTCTTACCAGCCAGTGAAGACTGGAGAGAAAACAGACCCTGCTGTTGAGGCCTTTGATGGAAAACTCTGTAGCCTGCTCACCTCAGCAAGGAAGGGGAGTGAGACGGGGGCAGAAGCAGGCATTGCCCTGGGAGATTACTGCAGACTCTGGCCAGTCTCTCAGGCCTCATTTGATGTACGGTGTGGAGAATGTCAGACAGAGAGTTTATGTAGAGAGACGTCCGGCCTGGCAGAAGCGCATGTGGATTGGGCAGTGACTTATCCTTCTATCTTGGACACTTAAGCCACAAACCCCAGCAGCCAAGTATGCAGTTTGTGCTTTTTACCCCAGGGGGGTTGATCTCTCCTTACCCTGATTTCGTCTCATTTAACATAATGTTCAGCTGCTGGCCGCTCTCACCTGGGGATGGCATACTTCAAAGGAATTGTTTTTTTTTCCAAGCTGCTGGCTTGTGTCATCTCTGAAAGTGAAGGATCTTGCTAACTTCAGCTGCTCGGTGTCAGACCCAAGGGTGCTATGTAAACAGTTTTTCCCTTTATTAGGCATTAAGTAAAACTAGGCCGGCCACAGTGCATTTTTTAAAAATTAATAAACATACAGCAAGGGCCAGTGGCCCCTCCAAGGATCCATGATGAACAGAAGCTGGACTCATTCCTCTCCCCTTGACACATCGTTGCTCGCTGACCTCATTCAGAGCCTGCAAGGGCATCTGAGCGTCCAGCCCTGCCCTGCTCCATCTGAAGCAGTCTCGTGAGTCCTGTCACACAGGCTCCTGCATCACGTCAGACTGGGGCTGTAAAGGCTGTCCTCTCCCCTTCATTCCCTCTCCCTATCATTTTAAGCCATCAGAGTCCATAAGCCAAACACCTTTTGCCCGAGCCCTGAGCCTCCGATGGGGCGTGTCTGTCAGGGTCATTACATAAGCACCTCTGAGTGGCGTTGGCCATTGGAGGTCATCTGGTCTGTCTCTTTGGCTTCGGCCGGCGTGGCCCTGGCACTAACCTCGTTCCTATTAAACATCCCCAGGGAAAGATTCCACTGGGAGAGTTGAGAGTGTCACATTTATCCTTCAGTCCATCTGCTGCTGTCCCGGTGAAGCAAGGAGTGCCCAGGCTAAGGAAGCTCATGCAGCCTCAGATGGCAAGCAGGTCTGGGAGGCTCGGGCTGACTGCTTCTTATCAGTGCAGTCTGCCGTGTCTGAGGGCGGCGGACTTGTCCTGCAGCCATCAAGCTGATGGTGCTGCTCAGCCTCCAGATAAGCCACCTCTAGAATTGAAGACTGGTGTTAGGATCTTCCCAGTCAGGTGGCATGCACTGGTGGAACAGGTGGCCTGAGGCAAGGAGTGTTCTTTTGCCCTTAAGAACCAATGACTGCCAGCAGTCAGGCATTTTAGGGTGGATGGAAGCTTTCCAAGATAAATAACAGGCTTCCAAAGAGAAGACATGTAGACAGGAAATCTGCTGTCTTGTCACCTAAGACGTAGAGTATTTTGCTGAGTCCCAGGTCTTGCGTGAATCCAGATACTCCTGCCAAGGGGGAGAATGTTCTCTTTACAGTGGACAATATGAACATTTTTACTTAACCACGTCACAGCACGTAGTTTTAAAAAGCAAATTATGACGTTAAGAGGTACGTTTCCCAGTGGATTTCAGTTTCATTAGTTAGTAGGTAATGAAATGTTCACGTTCGGTGATGTGTTGAGGAGAAATAGAACAGAGTGGTTCAGGACAGCTGCTTGGAGGTCAGACCTGAGTTAGAAACCTGGCTCTGCCATTAGTCAGCTGGGTGACCTTGAGCTCGTTACTTAATGTCTCCACGCTTCCGTGTCTCATCCACAAAAAGGAAAGTAAAAGAACCTCCTGACATGGGGGTGTAAGGACTAAAGAGTTCCCGCGTGTGAGGTGCTGAGCCCAGCACCAGGCCCCCGAGTACCACTCGTGACCACGGCTCACGGTGTTGTTTGCCAGTGGTGGGCCCAGCACCGCTGAGAGCTTTCCGTGGGTGGCATCACTCAGTCCTCACGACAGGAATGTGAGGCAGACCCAACTCTCATTCATTCCCCTTTTGTAGATGAGCAAAGGGAGGCTGGATGAGATTAAGCTGCTTGCCCGAAGTGGCAGGCAGGAGGCGGTGGAACTGGAATTTGAAGCTAGGCAGTGGGCCTCTGGGGCCTGTGCGCTGAGGCCCCGTCTGCCACCTTGAAACATGAAACTATCTTCATTACTCCTCTGCTCTGGCCTTGTCTTGGTCCATGGAGGACTGCTGTGCAGAGGACTTTGCAGAGACCCTCTGTTGGTTCCCTGTGGCCCCCCCACCCCAGCCCTGACCCTCGCAGAGATGGCATCACAACCTCAGCAGCTCCAGCCTGAACCACCTGAGCCCTCCACGCAGCACAGGTGCAACCCGGCTCTCCAGGCGACAGTCCAGAGCTCAGAGAGACTGCCCTTGGGTTTGTGGGGAGCCAGGGGGCAGGGCTCAAACTCTGCCCTGCTTCATGTTTTCGTTCTTACCCTGAGCCGCAGAGATGAGGATGGAAGCTTCCTGGGTCCTGCCATCACTGTCCGTCCTTTCCCTCCAAGCCACAGGCTGTCTCTGAGAGCTGGATGTGGCTGGTGGGAAAGACCACGTGAGCCCCATTCCAGGGTCCCTGGCTGAGTTGCCCAAACTCCTTCACCACCCACTGGCTCCAACACTTTTACTGACAATCCAGGGCTGGCTTTTCTGAAGGGCATAACGTCTGTTGCTAGGCCGCTGGTGAGCAGGACCTCTGCTTCCCTGTTTCTCTTTGCTCCCACCCCTCAGAGAGTCATGCAGAGGTAGGAAGGTTTTAGTAGGTCTTACACTAGATACTGTGTTTCCAGTGCAAGTAGAAACAGGCAGTTGGCTTGGTCCTAACAGGAAAAGTGATGCTCAGAAATCTGATTTGAAAGATACACTGTAATGGTCTTCACTAGATGCCGGGGATCAGAGAAGGATGTATCTTGCCTGTCCTTGAGGAATTCACTGTTTATTCTTTCACTCTTTATTTCATTGATGGACAAGCGGAGGTTTTCTGCGCCCACCAGCACTATGTGCTAGGCGCAGTGCCAGACCCAGGAGTCAGGGATGAATGAGCTAGAAGAGCCCATGCCCCAGAGGACCCCTGAAGAAGGAATGAGTGAACACAAGAGAAGCGAGGGTCAGTCCGTGTATCTCAGGCACTGACGGAACTGGGTGCAGGCTGTGGGACATCCAGCCTACCTCCACACCAGGCCGTGGAGCTCTGAGACACCTACTTTTTTGTATCCTAGAAATAACTTCTCTTGTTCTGAATTCACTCTCACCAATCAATTTTATGAGTTCTGGTAGATTCTTAGCTTCTGTAGCCACACCCTTTGCCATGTGACTC